GGGGTGGAGGGTGGGAAGAGATTAACCAAAGAAGTTATATGCATATATGCATAACCCATGGACACAGTCAATAACGGGATGAAGGCCTGGGGTGGGGGTGGGAGCGAAGTGGAGGGGGTCAATTGGGGGGAAAAATGGGACACCTGTAATACTTTCAACAATAAAGATAAATTTTAAAAAAATTCCTCAGTGGGAGAGATAGACTCGTGCATAATTCTAATCTGCTTAATTTTCAACAACTATTGAGTGTCTATAATGTCCCGTTATACTAGTTGTTGAGGGTTCTTGTGGTTCAAATGGCTAGCCATTTGGTGGAGTCAAAGCCAGAACTGGAATATAAGGCAAACAGTTAAGTGCTGTCACACTGATAGAAAGGAAGTGGAGGGGAAGGAGAGGTAATTTCTAACCATAGGGATATCGCATGGCGTGGTCCACAGATTGATTAGAACATTTTAATATGTATGACTCTCAACTCTCTAAGTCCTCTAAACTAAACTTCACTTGAACTCAGGCTACTCTGAAAAAGCAATGCTCAAAGAATAAATCAGCAACAGAATTCCACTCAACATTCTCTATCACAAAACCTGGTGGATGTGGCTTTGTGCCAGTTACCAAGGAAAGTAAAAAATAAAATAAAAATCACATTTTGAAATGGGCAAGCAAAAGACATTGTAGTTCATACGTATTAAATTGAAAATGCTGAAGTTCAGCTGTGGAAGCCAAGAAAGTCCGTGCTTGTAGATATAACTCAAATTTAACACATTTTGTTATTTAATATCTGAAGGTTTCCTCTTCCCTGCAGACAAACTGCTGTCAGAGCAGGGATCAAGTTCTGGCCCTTGCAGATCTTGGAGGCCTTAAATCTTAACCCAATCCTTGCTCATGTAGGAGTGTAGCAGTTATGTGGCAGAGACAGTGTCAGAGACATTTTGGAAACTGACAAGTTGCTAAAATGACTGCATATTCTCTAAGGACTGAATATCCTTATTTGAGTATATCACCTTTGCAGGCCCCTGATTCTATAAAGTCAACCTGGGACACATTTACTTGGGTCCACACAGTATGAAGAAAAGGTTTCGAGAACAAAAAATAACATTGCTCCTAACGTCAGGTTATTTGTCTCCCTTAAACCTGTTAGTCAGCCATTGTGAGCCCTGTCATTGCTTTTGGCCTTCTAAAATGTCCAGGTGTTAGGAACGCCTGACCTCTCATTCTCCCTCCTGTGGCTCCTGTAGCCTGATGTGGGTTCTCCGCACAGTCACAGGCCCCATCGGCTCTTGCCGCTTCCTCATTCTCAGTTCCCTAAGTACCCAACTCCATCACCAGCCTGACCTGGATGTTTATCAGCTGAACAGCTGGGAAAACTTGGCAGCAGGGCTCTGGGGTACACCTATGCTAATGAACTGTTATCCTAAGCGTTAGCTGCCCAACTCTACAGCTTCTAAGGATATTAAAAAGGATTCTAAGGCCAGTATTTGAAAGCATTGAATACAACAAAGTTAAACAAGTTTGTTTTCTCTCTCTCTTAGCACTTCTCAGAGTCTCTAGTAGTTCAAAATCCATTATGAATTTCTAAGAAAGGGATAGAGTATGCAGTGTTTCCCAAATTCTTTTTTTCAGTCCAAAGAAAAAAATTAAGAATGACTGAGTTAAGACACTTTTCCATGAGACCTTCCCAATAATCCCAGTCAGACATTATTTGTGATGCTTTTACCCCTTACGTCTCGTAAAATTTTCTGTGTAGCTTTAGAGTTGGATGAGATAGAAATTTGTATTCTTTTAGCAGCTGCTGTAAGAATTCCTGATTCTTTTTGGATGAAGTTTAAGACAAGAAGCAGAAGATCCTCCTTGCATTCTATTAGGGGGTCGCCTTAAGGCCTTTGTTTTCTTGAACCCCCTAATGAGTTTGGGCATGTTAATTTGGAAGGCAGAGCTGGAATGCTTTAATAACAAAAATATGAGACATTTGAAGTTCCCAGGGAAATTTCAGGAAGGAGAGAGGAGTCAGTCAGACTAAATTCTTCATGGGAGAAAGATCAGAGAGGAAAAAGGAAACAAACAAACAAACAAGCAAACTAATGGTGGGCCTGCTGAAAAGAAGCTTTCTGGGAGAACAGAAATGTCTAATGGGAAATTTTAAGCTGTTTTTATTGGGAATGCAGCATAAACTGCACTTTTGTTCCCACTGTGATGCCTCCTTGGCCCACACCGGTGGCGTGTGAGTAGGTTCCTTTGCAGACTGGGCACAGCGGTGGATGGGCTGGAGCTGGCAGGGGAAGCTGACGTCTGGGTGGCATCGTTACTTATGTTCGTGTCTCATCAACTCCCCTAGACTGTAAGCAATGATTGAATGAATGAATGAGTAAATGCATCACTTTTTAAGCAGAAGCAGCAGGTGAGGATTTCTATTTAACTGGGACTAGACCCAGCCGCTCAGCCATTAATAGGATAGAATTACTTAGTAAAGTAGGGGATTAAATTGGTATTTGTTGAACTAACTCATTTCTGAGTCAGTGAGAAAGGTGCTGTTCTCTTGGTTGGAAGCATGCTCTTCCACGTAGAAAGAACTAGAGCTTTAATCTTTAACATCAGAAGACTACTTTAATTATGAACACCTGGCCTTCTAGATTCCAAACAACATCTCTTCTCTGTTCTATGGATAAGGAACCAATGGTAAAACACAAAGATATCACACGTCTCCATTCTCTGTTAGAAGGTAATTGCTCCCTTACATGTGTTTCCATAGCATTTTATAACAAACTAAGGTTCTGAGGTTCACCACATTGTATTACAGATATCATACATCTTTGGTTTCTCCATAACACTTCAAGGTTCAGATGTAGCCAGGTCCTGTGTCCTCTTGGGGGGCTGAAAAGATGACCACAGAGGCTTTATTTTCTTGCTACTTGCCTCTCTTCCTTGAAAGCCTGTCGGTATCTTGATGGAAGGGACCATGCCTCACTCACTTCTGAAGCCCCACTGCCTTGCAGTCTCTGGGCCATAGCAAGTGCCAATCAATGCTTTCAAACTGAATGGCATGTGGGGAGAAAGCTGGGTGCTGGTGCAGTAATGGTGACCAACTCAAGAATAATTCGTTAGGGTTCCCTGGAACGGCCTGGTCTTGACACCTTTACTTGTCATCAAAAATGTCCTTTAATTGCACAATTAATTGCCAGAACCCACATCTGGTAGAACTGTGAAATGAGACATTCTATATTGATGTGAGAAGGAATCGCATCATGTTCACATGAGAAAGGAGATTTAGGCTTCTTTGGTAGAAAGCTTGGCTGACATAACCTCTCTTGTTTCCACAGTGGCTCTAAATTTAGGAATTTCCACAGCAAGTTTGTCTTTTGAAATGCATTTACTGGGAAACCATTTGTCCCAGTTATCCACTGGGAGGAGAGTGGGGAAGGATTTGGTTGTCATTTCAGGAGTCATGCTGGGCTCCTGAGATGCCACAGTTGGTGGAAGAGATGACCACAGAGTCCAACATCTGAAAGGGAGGGCTGTGGACTCAGTCATGTGCAGATCATTTAACTCTTTGGATAGTTAATTACTTATTCATTCAACAAACTTTATTAAGCCCCTGCTCTGTGATAGGCACCATTTTAAGAAAGGGAATTCATTCTTGAAGCAAGACAGAAAAAGTTTCTGCTTACAGGACTCATGATGACACACACATAAATGAGGATATCAGGTGGTGTGACAGGGAATGGCTGGGCGGTGGTTTGGAAAGGCATCTCAAAAGTGTCATTGTTTAGTTGAGACCTGAATTAGAAGGAGTCACATAAAGAACAGGAGGAAGACCCTGCGGCCTTTCTCAGAAAGTGTGGTGTGTTCCAGGAACAGAAGGAAAGCCACTGTGATGAAGGGGAGGTGCAGCAGGTGGAGATCGCAAGTTGAGTCCTGCACTGACCCTGAACTTCTGGGCCTCACCAGGGTTAACACTGTATCTTTTCTTCTCTTGCAGACGACTTTGCAGAGGAGGAGGAGATGCAATCCTTCGGTTACAAGAGGTTTGGTGAGTTCCAACAAAGCTCTTTCCTTCTCCGTGCTCAATCTGGGTTACAGTAACAAGACCTTTGGCGGACCTTAAACACACATGGACGTGTGTGGCTCTGAGGCCCAATCTTGGTTGGAAATTGAGTTTCTGTAAACAGGTGGATGATTTCTCACAATGCTGATGGCAGTGGAGCAGGAGTTGTGCTCAAGCACAGGATGCTTATGGGGTTTGCTGGGTACAAACTAGATGGTGTAATAGGCAAAACATGGTGGGAAAGATAAACCTATGACAAGACAGGGGCAAAAATACCTGGAATGTCTCTGTTTTTATATTTAGAAAACATCTTTCCTTTTTCCTCAGGCCCCATGCTTATAACTCAGTCAATGCTAGTAGACAGTGAGAAGACTTTTTCTAGAAGCCCAGCTAGACACAAGTGCTCTGTGGTAGGCTGGATAATGAATGGCTCCAAAAAATGTCTACACCCTGATCCCTAGAACCTGAATGTAACCTTGTACGGCAACAAGTGCTTTGCAGATGTGATAAAGTTAAAGAACTTGAGATGCAGAGATTATACTGGATCATCTGGGTGGGCTCTAAATGCAATCACAAGTGTCCTTATAAGAGAGATGGAGAAGGAGATTTGACACCTGGAGGAGAAGGCAGTATGATGGTGAAAGCAGGCACTGGAGTGATATACTCTGAAGGTGGAGGATGGTGCCATATGCCAAGAAACACGGGTGGCCACTAGAAGCTGAAAAGGGCAAGGAAATGGATTTCCTGTTCAGAGCCTCTGGAGAGAGCACAGTCCTGCCAACATCTTCATTTCGGCCAACGGAAGCTGATTTCAGCCTTGTGGCCTCTAAAATTGTAAGAGAAAAAATTTGTGTTGTTTTCAGCACCACATTTGTGGTAATCTGTTGAAGCAGCTATGGCGAGCTAATGCCCTCTCCTCTGCCTCCTGATCGGCTGCACACGGGCCCTTCTCTCTTTGACCACGCTTCTCACGCTCGGCAGTTTGGCTTTGCACTGCCAGTGAACATTACTGCAGAGTTCCAGAGGTGGTTCAAGGGCACTGAGGTTTTCCGCCCAGCTTGTTTCTGTGCTTTGGCCCGAGGAAATGAAAAAGGGTAAAGGAGAAAAGAATGAGAGTGTGTGTGTGTGTGTGTGTGTGTGTGTGTGAGAGAGAGAGAGAGAGAGAGAGAGAGAGAGAGAGAGAGAGAATGACAGAGAATATGAAAGAGAATGAATCTACTTCCTGGCTGGCCCAGCCGGGCGAGGCTCAGCGGTTGAGCACTGACCTAGGATCCAGGAGATCGCGGTTCGATTCCTGGTCAGGGCACATGCCCGGGTTGCGGGCTCGATCCCTTGTAGGAGGCCTGCAGGAGGCAGCTAATCAATGACTCTCATCATTCATGTTTCTATCTCTCTCTCTCCCTCTCCCTTCCTCTCTCTGAAATCGATGAAGATATATATACTTTTTAAAAAAAACAAAAAACATCCTGGCTGCACTTTGGTTAAAGTTGACAACCCCCAGCTGCTCTGGCTTCCTCATTCTTTAGCATTTTTCCTTCTGGACATACACTTCTGTGTATCTTCGTGGGGAAAAATAGGGCTTTGAAATGGGAGTGCAGTGGTGCCAAGCCCGTAGCTCCTCCATTCATGTGCTGGCAGAGTGGCTTGTGTTCAGTTCTTCTTCCCTTCCTCCATAATACTGTCCCGTATCTACACAATTACATATTTCTGGATGAGTACCCTGTGTTCTGCTTTCTGATGGTGGGTTCACTGATGGTGGTAGCAGGAGTGAAAATGAAATCAAGAATTATAGTGGAAAGGAAAACAAAACAAAAATGAAAGGCAGAAATAAAGAGGAAGATCAGACTTGTCAAAATAAGGCAAAATAAATGTTGACATGCCTACATATTTTGGAAATCAGTAGATTTCAGATCTGCAGTTGGAAATCAGTAGAAGTATGAAGAACCGAGAGAAAAAAAATTTGCTTTAAAAAGAGTGACCTTTAGAGAAATGTTATTTAAAATTTGATGACTATGTAACTAGCTAGATGGGTGGGGATTTGGTGGAAAACAACCACCACGAAAAGTAGTAAGTTGCTGAAAGGATTTAATGTGTTGTGGTTAGATTATGTGTGGAGATCATGAACTGATGACTCAGAGGAAATGTGATAATAATTTACAAATACTGGACAGCACAAACGGAGGAGTGAAGAGAATGATACCAAGTGACACAAGTAGGAAAAAGGGATGAAATTAAAATGGGAAACTTTGGAATAGGCTGTGAAAGAGACGTTCTGATGTTAAAAATTCTTAGATTCAGCTTTTAGGCAAAATGATGGATATTCAGCCCAGGAGTTGAGTAGAATTTTGGAGATGGAAGAGCCTTTGAGATGATTTAAATCAGCCTTTAATTTTACAGATAAGGAAGCTGAGGCCCAGATTAAGTTCTTCTCAAGCAAGTTAGCTGGAGCTGGGTGGGGTTGGAGTAGTTTTGGGGAAGGGTCCAGCAGTGAGATTGAAGTGACCTCTCAACCTCTGTGTCCTAGAAGGGTCCCTATAGTTCCAGAACTCTTAACATGGGCTGAACATTCCAACCTGGCCCCACCAGGGAGGCCTCATCACTTTTGCAGGACCTAGGACACTGGACTTGGTTTTATAGAAGATAAGTGGGTTTTCAGTTCCTAAGAAGTGGGCAGAGCTGGTCATTGAAAGCAACAGAACCGAAGAGCCCATTCCTTCAGGTATTAAAGAAGGACAGAGTTAGGCAGGG